TTCTAACAAAAAGTTTCTAAACATTTCTGGTTTCTGTATTTCCAAGTTAGTTCCTAGTGTGAATGTTTACAAGTGAAGGATGAAATACAACCGGAGTCTTGATCAATGCTGAATAAGGATTTTTAAGTTTTTTCGCTGAATATATAATTAGTGAGGTTCATTGATCTCTCCGTTTATATCAGTCATATGTTTCTGATCATTTACTTATACCACTTGTAGTCTATCCAGATTTCAGGTTCCACTAGTCTTATTTTCTATTCAGTCTATAATAAGACAAACATCCACATTATTCACGTGTATTAAAAGAATTAGCTGTATGTTATTTCAAATTGTTCAGAAACAAACATAAATCCATCATACAGTCATGTGAATTAAAATTAAGTTCATTCCGTAAACTGAACAAGTGCAATTTTATATATTCACTTTTATGTATTCACTTTAATTGAGACACAAAACTTTATTTTATCATGAAATTAGTTCATTTAGAAGTAACTACTCTAATAAATGTTTAGTTCCAACTTTAATGGTACGATTCATGTAAAAAAAACTACATTGAAATTAAGTGTAATCGAATTAAATTTCATTTATATTAGCAAACTGAACAAGAAAGTATTTAGAAACTTTAATCGTAACTCTTTATCATTTAAAAATGACTCTGTGATATTATGAAATCAGTCAATCACTTTATATACCTTATGAACAATTGTGAACTTAACTGATTTTATCACTAAATATGCATGCGTTTATCTAGAATCATTCTAATTTTTGGTGGAGTTTTGTTCTCTGAGCTGGATGGTTTGGTCGTGGAGCTTTCATCGTTCTTCTGAACGACATCATCAGCACAAACTTCTCCACCATCTCAAAATCATATGAGCGTAATACGCTTCTCGTTGTTCGAAAATGGGAGAATTTCGCCAAAAGGCAGGCTTCCACTCGAGAACAACTATATTTTCTCCATGAGTGTTATCTGAAGTTTGTGCTGATGATGTCGTTCAGAAGAACGATGAAAGCTCCACGACCAAACCATCCAGCTCAGAGAACAAAACTCCACCAAAATCATCCACCTGAGCTACAAATCTTCTCCACCATCTCAAAATCATTCTAATTTGTTAACGAATATGTAATTTCCTTATTTCTACTCTTAAATAAATTCATTGAATTATGTGAACCGATGAACTGAATTACTGATCAAAGTTAATAAAATTCGGTGAAGTTCACGAACTTTATAACATTCATGAAGTTCTCAGGATTATCCATAGTTAATTTTATCATACTGAATAATGACTTAAATACAAATTTTTCTAAATAGTTACTGATACATTTCTCTAATAACACACAACTTTTCTGATAATCAAGGTTACCATATCTTTGCCAACTAATGCACTCGTTATCAACAGTAAAATGATTGTGTCAATATTATACTTACTAAATAATTAGTGCAGTCTTTATATAAATCAGCTCTAATAGGGGTGAATATTTTTCTCTAACTGTGTTACATTACCTGGACATAGACCTTCATCCGACTATGATCACATTCTCTTCATTTTTTGTGTTTTCATTTATTCTTTTCTAAATTATGGTTATATATATTTATAAATGGTAAACCCATAATTGACTTTGTAAAGTTCATTTACACTTTGTTTTTAAAAGAAAATAGATCAGTTTTATTCTATTTTGTTTAGAGTTTTCTTTACAATATAATCTTCAAACATTTGAACTGTAACACAAACCTCCAAGCAGATATTAAGAACAAAAATGCAGATTATCTATCAATTTTGCTTACAGTATTACATTAAGAGCTTATGAATGTTGAAGTTTAATAGAGTTACCGGTGTAACGATAATTTATGGACTACCTTTGAGCTACACTGAAGTGACCTTGAGGGTGTCCACCTAATAACTAGGACCAAATGAGAGTTGTAAACCAGTGTGAAGAATTAGAATGATCATTAACAGTTGATGGTTAAGGTTAGGGATTAGATTTAGGGTTTTCATCACAATGGGTAAATATCTCGCAGTCTACAATTGACCGTTGAAAACACTGATTCTGACCCAGTGAATTAGCTGGTCAGTTATGTGCAGTGTAGAACCTGGTACTTAAGTATATTGACTCAATTTGCTACACTACAGTATTACCAATCAAATAGAGGTAGTAGCATCAGCGACAGTAAAATAGATCAGTCATAAAGAATATGATTAGAGAACAAATGATAGATGACTAATAATGTCCTAGTAAAGAGCCGTCAATTTTTGACACATCTTTTTTAATACTAAATACTTCCACAAAACGTCTCGATCACTAAAGCCAAATACTGCCGTCGCGTCAAGGAATACTATCTTTATCAGAAGTCGGTTAGTATGCTTATGTTCTGTAAAAGTGCGAAGATTTGATCGGTGGATCGACACTTTGTTCTAAAACCATGCTGACTTTCTAAGGCTTCCAGTTCACTACCCTTAATTAAGTGTTGGGTTATTTTTGAGACGGCTATTCTAGACAATACAGATCGAAGGAATTCCTCTGTGGTTATCAAAAGTGGATTTATGTCCTTCCTATTTAATTAATACGATCAGACGCCATTACGTGCCAATTCTGCACTGATGACGATGTGGTTTACTTGAGTCCGTGTTTGAGTTGGCTTTGCTGGTCGCTACGATGGACAATGTTTCTCTTTATGGGCATTTTTAGGTTTATGAAAGTTAGGGATATTTTCATAAAATTGATCGTTTTCTTTTTCCGAACTGCAGTTGGTTTGAGCGCTGTCAGAGACTGGAAGAATGTAACGGTGTTTTTCTTTGTCGTGTTGGGTTCATACAATACTATTCAAGTGGACGGCGCGGCGCGCAAGTAAAGGTGCAGTCCAGAAGACTTCGTTTTGCTTTTGGATTAAATGAAATAGTTACACAATTTAGGAGAGTGACTGTATAGCGTAAGCGATAAGTGCTTGAGGCCGGTTACACGCGACCTTTCCATGAGGATTTTTAATGTGTTAGCTCTGTACTTTGAAAGGCATTCCCTTCTCAGTCAGGAATCTTTGATACATGATGAAGTGTGATATATTTGTAACCTGTCTTCTCTAACCCCTGCTTTCTATTGTCGAATGAGGTGATCTCTGGAGATCCTGGTTGTTGTGATCATATTCCAGTACAGTTTTCAGTATAAAGTTCTTCAACTGAACTGTCTCGCGTAGTTGGACCTCAGAGGAACGAGTGTTCCCGTTAATATTCTTCTGTTGGGTCACTACGATAGGTGGACTCGATCACCATACCGATGTGGAAATCTCCGGTAGGGACTTATTATCATCTAAGTTGCCGCGAGATCGTAGCTTGATAACGTGTGAAGTTGTGAATGTGTGCTATTGATAAGTTGTCAATATGGCCGAAACAGTCACCAATAATTCTGTGGCAGTTTTCAGTAGTGTTTTAGGTAAAACCAGTTAATGATAAAATTGATTTCAAAATAATATCTTGGTTTCTAATTATGAAAGGGATTGTCTTACTGTATGAACAGAAATTTGTGCTGATATTGTGAGCTACTGGCTTGTACAGCTAACATGCTAATTAATTGCACACAATGATTATAACCACCTCATTCCAAACTATTTGGAACATGATTAAACTTAGAGTGACTAATACTGAACTAAGCTCATTATTATTGTATTTCTATGTCGCTCGAATGTTTCTAAATCAATTGTGCAATAATCGATAGTCTAGTGCGTGATGTGTTGTCTTTATTTGAACATAAACAACATTTGAAAGACAAAATAAATCCATAAAAAAATATACCGCTAGTATTTTAACAGTTTATTCGATTAATAAACTGTCAAGTGAGTGCATATTTTATAAAGTTAACTATACAGTTATTCATTTCAAAGGGAATATTTCGAGATGTTTTATTCTCACTGTATTAATTACTGTTTATATTTGACCAGATATTATGGTTATGAATATAATTGGTAATGTTAGGACTGATTTGTCAATGATTTGTTTGTCAACGTGTTTGAATCAGGTTGACTGCTTTTGTGAAAGTACATACATAAGCCTTACCCATAACTCCTTCTTTTCTTAATTATGTACCTTCATGGTTATGACAGGTTATCAGATCTATAAATAGCGCTATGATTTCTAATCCGGAATATAGAATAAGATTTTTCGGTTCATACCAGTTATCGAATAATTCACTAAACGGTAAAAATACTCCTCCATCATATCGTGAGTGCCATCGTGTACAACTAGAAGAATTCTTACTTATGAAGATGAAAGTTCTGAGTATCCTTAATTTTTTGAATAAGTTTTATTGACTGATCAACAGTTCCTTTTAATATTCAGACCACCCTGTTCGACAACTATCATCGTAAAATCATAGTGACTGCACAATAATATAGATTACTGAAATCCAAACAATCGAATGGACTGCGTTATACTTTATGTAACTTTCTAAACATTCCTAGCGTGTAATTAAAGTATTTATGTCAGATGTTACGTTGTAAGTGAAACCAGCCATGAATATGAACAAAGGTGTAAAAACTGTAACGTTTATGTTACTTTCATGTAACCTTGTATTAATGAAACCGTGCATATATATGTACAGTAAAGTTTAATTTTAATCTTAGAGAGATGTGTTTATTTATTCATTCGTAAAAGGTTATTCTTAATTTCAAGTGAAATCATTTTAGATGACCGCTGATGAATAATAGCACAACGTGTAAATACATTTGTAATTTTGTGCATTGTAAACGCTAAAATGAATAAATAAATCTTAAAATTTATTTACTAAATCACTGTACATACTTGGAAGTGTTTTCATTTATTACAAATGATTTATTAACATGCCCGTCATTGTTTTTTTTTTTATTAAAGTGTTTTTGTTATTTGTCTATCGAATTATAAACTTACTATTGTAAGAGGATATTGTAAATATATATAGATGTATCCTATTATTTGTGGAACGAAGTATCTTGGAGTGTTTAACATTGTCTATTTAATTATTTATTTGTTTTACAGGAAGATCCTCTTGAACCTGCACTTAAACTTATCCCAGGTTTTTTCGGCACAGTGGTTCTGGTCAATAGTTTTTCAATATTTTACGAAGGACCTTCATGTACGTTAGCTGCAAATTGTCATCGATATTTTCATTAAAACGACAGTTGTTACGTTTGTTGTAATAGATATTTATTTAAGTGTTGAAATTGTTTGAGAATTTGTCAGTGATGAAAATAATTATTGGTGTATTTCGCGGATATTTTTATAATGTGGATTGTTACTAAAATGCACTACAGAACTTATTTGATGGTAGCTTTCTGGACATTTTACTTAAATCTAGCACGAAATGCACTTGACTGAGATAAGTTAACTAGTTTTTTCAATGCTTTTATCCATTCGAATCAAGTTTCCGTATAGTGTATCGGTTTAAAGTGTTTATATAAGTAGCGATTTCTATGCACAAAATTGAACTATACGACCGGTATAGTAAGAATAATGAATTAATCTAGAATTGCTCTGACAAATATACCCTTCAGTTATCTGGTAGTTTATGGTGTTGGCTCTAATGCAAGCGAAAATATTTTTAATGTTTCTTCGATATTTGTATGAAAGTCAGCAAAGTAGGTATGTTGGATGGAGTATACGAGTTAGTGCATTATAATTCTTGTCGCAGTGTTGTCAACTCACCTTAGTAAATAATTAAATATTAAAGTGAACATGAGCGTGCGGTGTTTGAAGCAAGCAGTACTGGGTTCGAGTTGTTGAGTAAAAGACCAACACTAGGATTCGGTCACATTGGGCAATAGAGTCCTAAAGGGAAAGAGACGCGCATCAATACGTTTGATAAAAAGATCAAAGTCGATTGATCATAATATCATTTTCATCCACACAAACAAATACTTGGATAAATAACAATAATATCAGTTATGTTCTTCTCAATTAAGTTTGTCAATTTTTTTCTTGAAAAAAGGTTTCTATTTACAAAACAAATTATCACTGTATTTCACTTCCTTACTTTTGTTAATTCGGATTTTACCTAAGATGTGTTAGTTTTTTCCCATTGAATTTGACAACGACTGTATTGGAATATTACAAGTAAGTTGTAAGTGTTTATCTTCCGTGATATTGACCAGCGTACTAACATCGCGGCAATAATTTATGAAAGAAGACATGGACGGAAGTTGGTTGATTCTGATATTCTTATTGTTTAACAAATAATTTAGAAACATTTTACTCTACTGAATTAAATAACCTGTATAATTTCATATAGAGGTTTGGTACATAAATTTAAAGTATTAGAGTTAGATTGTTCCTTTTTATTTATCTCTTGGTTTATGCGTTCAATCCTACTCAATATGTGGATTGATGTGTATGTTGGTATTTGATAAATATTCCAGGTTCTATTTCTATATAAGCTTGAATAACCGATAGTGTGAATTTGTGATTGATACCAAATTTAAAATGACAAGAGTGTTTATACTACTATGGTGTTGATAAGAATCATAAGTACACATGGTATGCGTGAAGTCCATTAGAATGTATACAATAAACATGGTATGATGATTTTACCATTTCAATCAACTTCATTTAATATAAATATCCTATATTTTTCATAATAATTGTATATTTCCGTCTAGATTACTAAAATAACTGCTTCTCTCATATATAATAATTAAATTGTTATTGAAAATATGTTGATATTTGAAATAATTATGGATGTAATTAATTACTTTATATTTTTGTGTATTTTTTCCAGTCTCCAATCTACTTACATTTGTATGAACAGTCGATTATCAACTAACCCTATCTGAACTACATATACACATGCTTGTGTTTTTCCTCTTTTGTAGTGCTGAAATTCGATAGGATACCTCTTTATGGAATATTTATAATTAGCTGTGGTTTAGGTATTATCACTGTTCTACTTGTGAAGTTTGTTTGGGTACCTTTGGTTCGTCGACATATTTTAAGTAAGTCGTTACTCTAGTAATCTGATGTATTATATTGCGACTGTAAGATTTAGCTTGCCGTAAATGGACAGAGAATAGACTGTGTTGAATTATGCAATTATATATTCCAGTCACCAAATGTGATTCGTTTACTTTGATTATGGTGAGATTGTGAATGCATACCACTGAAGATCCAAGGTTTATGTGAAATGCCCCTATATTAACCTCTGAGTTTTCGGCACCTGTATCAACGAAATAACTTTATGCTAAAGGTTTTCTCCTGATGTTTGTTTTATTGATAATCGCTTAAGCCTTTTGATGCTCGTTAAACAATACTCACTGATTTTTCTTGTTGAGCGATTGAACTAGCCAGACAGGACAGATTATTTATAATCTATGTGACCTCATAATCACTAACGTCATAAACGGATGAGCAGACGAATCAAAGGAAGCTGAATTTCATCTGACGTCACACATTTCAAATAAGTGATTGTTTGCTGTGTCAAAGAGATAAAGAAAGGATTAAGTGACAAATACCACACTTTATTTGTCGCAACGTGCGGCGTCCGTGACTTGATACTGATACCATAGTCTTTCCATATGCGAACCCGACTACTCAAGAGAAGATATGGGTAGTAAGAATGGAAGTTGATTTGGTGAAATCGACTCATATGCATGTGCACTTATGTGTATATTCCATAGGTAATGAGGTGTACCAAAAGGTTTGTGTGTGATCCTTTGAAAACGAAAGCATTTATCGGCCAGTCACAACCACTTATGATTTGAGGATTTCCGATTGACCCGTTGTAACAGTATTTTCCAAATAACTATTTTGTTTAAAACTGATTAGTTACAGAATATACTCACTGCTACTGACTGAATAAGTTAAGCACTACATTGAGAAGCTAATAACCAGAATAAATATGAATCTCTATCATCAAATGGGATTTTTTTTCAGAAAAGTAATTAAACTTCTGTTTTCTTGACCAATTAATTTCGTCAACAAAATATAAATGTAAAACGTAACCAATTATATTGTGAGGTTACTGTTTTTCTTACTCAATTCCTCTATCTTTGAACATTTGACGTTTATCTTTGTCGATTACGGAAACTGTGATTTTATTTTTCATGATAAAGGATTGAAGGGTCCTAGTGAGAAAACTGGAGAATCTCCCGTAGGTTTTGTGTATCTTGGATTATCACTGATAAATCTGATGACTTAAAATAGTTCAGTGATATAACTGTCCATCCTTCTGGATTAGATTCTATCACTGACTATTGATTGAGGCCAGCTAAATCACGTGATCGTTGTGAATAAGCATTTCACTGAATGATTGTTTTTCTGGAGAAGAGTAACAGAAATATAAGATGCTATACTACATGTGGGTAGTAGGTCGTATGGTAACTGAGAAATTAAGGTGATATTCAAACTAGGAAATAGTTAAATAGATGTGAATACAGTGCAGAACAATCCTGTACAAATGTTTAAATACGTTTCGAAGGAGAAACGTAATTATCGCAGATTAAGATCAAATGAACTTAACTGTTGGTCAAAGATAGTGTACTTTGAGATTGAAATCACAGATATTATCATCTGTTTGCCTGCGTTCAGCTGACAACAATTCATATAAGGAATGACTTCTTATTGTTATAACTTGTGAACCTGTATGCCCTGTCTATTGTATAACGCCACGATACCGCCAATCAGAGAGCAGCGAATTATCGACCGAACCAGTGACGCATAAAACACGTGCGAGCAGCCTAGAGTCCTGATTGGTCCTGCTTTATGCCTGGCCCAGTCAGTTGAGTCCAGAACACCAATCTCAGCCTCTGCAATACGAATCATTTATTTCAAGCATACTGGGTTTATATATCAACCAGACAGACCACATGTACCATAAAACATGAAAGAACATTTGTACAAGAATTAGCCAAATGTGGCTGTGAGTGAGAGAGATAGTAATTGATAGACTGGGCATAACTGAAGAATGGTGAATCGTATATTAATAGTTCATAGGTCAGAATAAAACTCATAATAAGGGGGATATGAATATGAAAAATTTAGTTGCATAACAATTATACGATAAAAATATACTCATAGTATTGGTCCATAAATGGATCCCAAAAATTACCATTCATTATTCTTATCGGGACATAACACGTACAGATTTATTATTATATAATCCGATCTATAAATGTGTATACATTTAAGAGGTCTTTTCGAATTAATAATTAAGATATTTCGGAAGTAAGAATAAATTAAACAGCTTTATAACTTCATGTTTCATTTTCAGTGTTATGACTTTAAATTCTTACAGAACTGTGTTTTAATTTTACAAAAATGAAACCTGACTAATACACGGTAATAATGAACCTGTTTCGATTTTTCTTTAATGTGTGATAAATGAAGTAAAATGTAATTGTGTTTCATTGACGCTATAGATTCGCTTACAACAACTTACAGATTGTACGTAATTTTTACATTGACTAAAATATTCGGCTAATTCGGTGTTCATGCATTTTTATAGCTGGAGAATCGAGTAGACATATTTTAAAAGGCTATTGTTCCCGTAAGAGCAAAAAGAAATTGTCTGTCGCCGTAGACGATAAGTATCAATCTGTTGAGGATAATAAATCTTCCAAACTTTCAAGCAGTAATCATGAATCGATTGATATGGATACGTATGTACCTCGTGCAGAGGGAGAGGCTGTGGTTGGATTTCGAAACAATGTTGCCAAAGGAAATACAGATGACAAAGACAAACTTGGACGAGTTACTAATGAAAATAATGGTGTATTGCAGGGATTAGAAAATCAAAATAAAGTTTCAAGTCGTAAGTTTTGTTTTGTAAAATAAAGCCTCACTTGCGTTATCCCCAAGGTTGCATTGGCACGAAATTCTTAACCATTTTTATCGTTAAAATCTCATGGAGATTAGATGCAGATTTATGGTTATATATACTTTGTAAAGCACAATTTGGTGACAGTAATTTATTATGATTATCCTCATGAATTTGGATAAAAGCAGGCTGTTAGTTAAAACAGAAATATGTGGATATAGTATTTCATGGATTCTATTCATTTACGATTGTGTTGAGATATAAGATTAGTCATAGCACACAAACAAGGAGCTGAAATGGGGTGTTATCATTGATGTTTTCTATAGATACATGTTGGAAAGCCCACCTGAAGATCAGCATAGAAAAATACGACGAAAGAAGCTTGCTAAGATGAGCTGTGTGACAGTTGTACGAAACCTAAAAGGATTTACATAAGTTTGACTAATTGGGCTAGTGGGAATCACTCAATAATTGTAAAAGTATGTTTTGGAGTGCATGGAATAATAAGTAACTTTCTAAAGATCGCCTAAATGATCATAATTATAATATCAACGGAAACGAAAGTATTATTGAGTGGGTTTTATGGTGATTGGTTTAATTTGAAGGTGGCATTCGTCACAGTTTGACCTCAGTCGATATACCATTAGTGACCAGGGGGGGTTGGGTACTGAACGTTAGTTTAATCGTAGTATGGGGCTCCACGACTATGCTCACTTACACTTATATATCCATATTTGAATGCTTTCTAAATATCGTCATTCCTCTTTGTTAAGTATATATGGCGAACTCTCAACTTCGATTCACAGTTTCAGTACAAGTGTGAATTGTCTACGTATGCTGATAGTGGTTGGTTGATTAAACCATATCTGATATAAATAAGCTGCAGTCTACTTTGCCACATTTACAGGATGAAAGAAAATGAAGTATTTTCCTGTAGATTAAACTTGTTTAAAAATAGTGACAGTTTCATCGTAAGTGTAAACTACATTTCTCAAACGTGTAAATAGTTAATTTTAAGAAAATGCGATTACTTAACCTGAATGAGAGCAAGTTCTGTGAAATTCAAACGTCTAAGTAAAAGTGTTTCAACATCATTAAAAGAAAATAAGCCAGACTGTTCACCATATGGTACTGTTTCTCTAAGTGTTACGTAATCGGTATAAAATTTCAATGTCGGTTGTTAATAAAAAAGGATTAGTTACACACTGTTCACTTCATCGGTGAAGAAATCTGTTTCTACAAAAATGTAGACACAATTTAAAACACTTGCTCTTGAGTAGAACACTTTATGAATACGTCAATTTTATTGTATATATTTCTGTCAAAATGTTTTTTTCACATTATTTCTTGTGAGTAACACCGATTATTATTATTATTATGAACTTCTCTGAAATTGTATAGAAGTGGGCACTGTTTATTAGAATAATGATACATTAAAATTAATTATTAACTTTACTGTGTACTTCTAATGATTTAACTCGTTAATTTACTTATAAGTAATAGGAATATAGTGAAGAAAATGTTTATTCTCTATAGAATGTTGTTAGGAATGATTACATAGAAACGGTTAAACTATGTATGATAAGTAGCTTCATTTTATTTAGAGTAAAGTGAAGTGACCTCATGTGAAATTGTTATCAGTTTATCACTTGTTTTATAGAACATATATTTTAGTGAAATTAAGTGTTGCTAAGTTTTATTTGGCCTGATTTATATACTGACACACAGTTGGCTTCTCAAGAAATCAAGATAATTTCATAGTGTAAATAAAATAATAAATTTTTTCCATGATTATATCCAAAGTGAAATCTTTATATTATTATTATTATTATTATTATTATTATTATTATTATTATTATTATTATTATTATTATTATTATTACTAAGACTACACTGAACCTAGTAAACGTTAATGGATGAATGTATATAAATGTAAACAACCCGTTTTTAGTGCTATTTGATTTGGTTATACGTTGCAATGATTGACATGAATTTACTTGTTTTGGCAAACCTAAATCTTCCCAAACTTAATCATGTCGCATCATTTTTCTTCTAAGTTTATTCTTATTTGTATGAGATTTTTATATCTGCTCCCTTCTTTTTACATTTCTTTCATATGTTCCATAGATTTCGAAGTGAAACCAAGTAATCCAGATGAAACAGTTTATAAAAGAAATCAGTTAAATAAGGTTTTGGATTATTCACCAAATGATCAAAATGCCATCACGGATGGTAGTCATAATTTAACTAATGGTAAAATGAATGTATCATTTCCTCCTAACCTGTCTACAATTGGTGAAGTGAGTATTGTGATTTAGTATTTATCTCCCTTTACTACTGTATCTTTTGGGATATACATATACCTTAATTAAATTACTAGATAGTGTTGAATGATTACTGTATATCAACCAATAAGAGGAAAGTGAATATGCGTAGTTTAGTTACTTAACAATTATACAATAGAAATGTATGTATAGTGTTAATCCATGAATGGATCCCAGCAGTTAGCATTCACTATTCTCATTGAGACATATCAGGAGGCTAGCACAAATGAACATTCAACCAAGTTGGTACATTGAATCAGTCAGTGGTTTCGATCATTCTACAGAGCCCTACGAGGTTGTATTCCAGTGTCCGTAAATGGACTTCATTATGATTGAACGACACTGATCCTGGTGACATGTATATCCTACTTGACTTTATATATACTCTGTCGACTAAACGCTTTAATACCACATAGTCATGAAAATTCAGACAGGAGAAGCTGAAAAAGTTTATTCGGTGAACAATGAATTACAGATGACCAATCAAAGCAGAGACAACAGACACGCATATGGCAAGTACACATAAAACTGTTTGAAGTTAACCGTAAATAAATAACAAGTGGATATATACGAAAACGACAAATGAATACACTATGATCAGTAACGTTTAATTTAAATATGCACAGGCCAGTTTATGGTCACCTAATAGTTTATAGAAGTCTATCGTACTAATTCATGATATAGCTGAGAGTTTGATTATGTTTATGACTCAAGTTTATATGGGTCACTCCATCATACAGTGAAAGATACATGATGTGCTGCAAAGTAACTTGTGGTTATTAGATTCGTTTTTTATTACATATCTTCCTCCTTGTTTATATACTATTTATATTCTATTGCAAATAATCCCAAATTCACATGCTATAATTTTTAAACGATGTATTTTTTCCCAAACCTTGCCACCTTTTGGATTATTAATTTGTATATTCTTTGTTCACTTATGTTTTAATATGATGGGAATTTTTCGGTATTTGGGATGAATGAAAGTCGAGAAATTTCTAACTTCAGAGATCGTATTAATTATTTCTGTTGCATTTGTGAATCGTTTGTTTTCCAAACTAGCGATGAACAGAGAGTGGATATTACCCTAGATACCTTGTATTCACAGTGCAATTGAAGAGTTATGTTTTAGGTCTATTTTGTGTGGGAGTAAATGAAACCATGCTGAAAAGAAGCAGTCTGAACTATTCTACAAATAAGTATTTTGCATGATATCATTTGTTTCAACTGAATGATTAGACCAATTTTAAGCCTATATATTGTGACGTATAACACATGAAATGCATTGTTAATATTTTTGCTACATATAATCTTCACTTAATTATTACTCATTCTTCTGGATATAGGAACCAGATCCTATCGATTCAGTTAAAGATCGTCCTGCTGAAGCTCAAGTTTTCTCTTCTTTACAAATTTTAACAGCTGTTTTTGGATCATTTGCTCATGGTGGTAATGATGTAAGGTATGGATATTTAACATATTTTTTCAATAAATCAAACTGTGTATATAAGAAAAATTCACTTATATTACTACCATTGAAGTATATTCAGTAATCAGAACTTAAGATTATTTATAATTGGTATAAAAAATGAGTTGAATCTCCACAATGGAAATGAAATCAGTTGACGCTATTTTAGGAGATGAAATATAAAATCTAGAAAATTCTAGATATTACAAAGATAATATCTAACATGAGACCAGTTTAGAAAGCTTGATTTTTCACAATGGTTAAATTATTCCTAGTTATCATTTGACAGTTACTCTCTTCCATTTATTCAGTGTTAACACTTTGTTTCTACTGTGTAGGATTATCAAAAAAAAATTGCTGGAAAAGAATAATTGAAATGATTGAACACGTCCTATTTGTTCATACTCACATCACTTGTAGCTATCTGTCATTGCAAAGTTATTCAATAGTAACTAATTTATTCAACTGATAACAAATACGTCTGGACGTCATAAACACTTACTATTAAAGATATTGATGATAGATTTTAAAGCTCTTAATATTGCTTTCTGTTAGGAATTCTATCTTTATTGAAATAGATATAATACAGTAAAATATTTCTTCAGTAAATAAAACATTATTCATGATTTGTAAAGTATAATCATGCTGCTAATCAGAACAGTTTACATTTTGAGAAGAAGATAGTGGAAAATATCTGTGATGATGTTCATTCTGATATCCATTGTTATTATTATTATTATTAAGCAATAATCGTCTGCAATTTCTGAAAACGAAAGAGGATTTTTATAATCTCTGTTTGACACTGGTATATAGTTTTAACAAAAAATCGAAGAGGTTATTTAGGTACTTGATAATGCTCTGTGTTTTTGTTTGAAGAAACCTAATTTAATTTCAGCATTGTTCGTGTTACGTCTTTGATCTGTCTACCGAATAATATACGGGTGAGAACATGCCTCGATGTAGATTAAGACCTTGACACGAGAGGCTAACTGGTTTTATCTTGAGGCTAGAAATGTATGAGTCCAAATTAAAACTAACAGCCTTGAGCAGAGGGACGAAAACCATCTTATGACGTGATTGGTGGACAAGCGAGAGAGAAGACGAGTCAATCGGAATAAGAGACTTTGTGGAAATGGCCGGCTTCTACTCGAGAACAACTGTATTTTCTCCACGAATGTCTTCGTGATATGTCTTGTTGTTGGAATGCTACTTTTTGTATCTGGTCGTCGCTGGTTGTTGTGTTGGGAACACTTATCAGTTATACGCGAAACGAGAGACCTCTGCAATTCCCACGACGCGAATGCAAAAACACAATACCGGTATAAGTGATGAATTATTAACCCCCAAAACACGACGGCGACCCTAGTCGAAAATACACTCACATTTATATATTAATTTTACACACACTGAATAATAATTAGGATGAAAGCACATATATATATATAAATACTCATTTATAACAAATCAGATACTGAGCATAGTTCATGTCAATTGAATACAAGAATATCGTATATTATACATAATAAAATATCATACGAGAAAACAAAACAAAACAAATACTACCCTGAATAATCATCACATTGAATCAAAATGGAAGTAACGTTGAACAAAACTCATAATGAGTAAACTAATCAGATTTCGACTTTTCTTCCTGTCATATAGCTTCGTCCAGCTCAGAGAACAAAGCCCCTTCAGGAACACTACTCGATTTATTTCCGATCGCCACGTCCCAATGCAAATCAGCGTAAAAAAGGGTGTGGTAGTGAATCATACATCAAACGAAAGCTCATGGTTCATAATGAGTAAACTGATCAGATTTCGACTTTTCTTCCTGTCATATAGCTTCGTTCAGCTCAGAGAACAAAGCCCCTTCAGGAACACTACTCGATTTATTTCCGATCGCCACGTCCCAATGCAAATCAGTGTAAAAAGTGTGTGGTAGTGAATCATACATCAAACGAAAGCTCATGGTTCATAGAGTAGGCTAGAGACAAAACCAAATGTTAGTATTTTACAAAGTTTGAATTAACCGAAATAACGTCTACATAAATAGCTTCCGTTGTCTGTCATGGTTTTGTTGTTTTTCTGTTCACGTTCGATCAGAACTGTAATTTCTTTTATCCTTTAGGAGATCACAGTAATCCTGATCATTTGCACATCTTTTTACATAAAATGAATGACATGTATGGATGTCCTTCTTTTTCATACACCATTTGTAATATCACATTTTTAAACGAGAAAGCATATTCAATAGGAACTATGCTTCTTAGAATTGAAATGTGGAATACGTAAGGGTCTAAGGCTTTCTTAAATGAAATGAGATACTTGTACGTTAGATTTGAATTACGGATCTTTTATGAATTACTGGTATATCAAAGTATAAATCCGCTTTAGGCTAAACTAACATAAATTTTATATGCTGTCACCCATTCGGTTATTTAAAGATACCGTGGTGAACATTCGAATGATACAAAGTTTTCATGAGGAAGAATGGTAGTCATAATCATTTTCAGACTACTCATTCAAAACAATAGTAGTGGTAAACTTGTTTCACTGCTAACCCATTATAAAACATGAAGTCCATGTTTAAACAATTTTATTAACATGTCAGTTTCTTATGAATTATTTTTTATGCAGTAATGCTATCGGGCCGTTGATTGGTTTATGGCTTATTGCCACAACACAATCAGTTGATTCATCGAAAACTACAGATGTTTGGATTTTGGTTTATGGTGGTGTTGGTATATCAGTTGGTCTTTGGATATGGGGTAGACGAGTTATTCAAACATTAGGTGAAGATCTGACGAAAATATCACCTTCCAGGTAAGTTGGTGATGTTTTTGCGCAGAAATATGTTTATTGTAGATATTCTATGTGTTAAATACCATCTTTCAATCAATTTGAATAGTTTTGGTTGTAATTTATATTTCATTTTTCATATTTATTCGAATGTTTTTATTTGCTTGATCTGTGAAATCGTTTTTCACAACTGACACTTTATTTTAGGTCATAAGATTCATTCTCTGATGGAACAACAGTAAGTAAAAACACGAATTTAAAGAAGAATGTTGGATCACTGTGGTGGTGGGATGTAGTCGACAAGAACTTTTCTCCAGTAATCGACATCTTATTTGATTCTGACAGTGCACATTAAAGTGGCTTTTTAGTGTCATCTTTTTTAAAGTGTACTTTGTGTCCACTGTGAGAGTCATCTGGTGGGATGCAAAGAAAGTGAAATTATAACGAGTGTTTAGTATTTTTTAGTTTTTTGGTATGCAGTACTCAATAACTTACAATACTTTTCAGCTAGTCACTTAGTTAATATTCAGCGATCAAGACGTGGAGACAGTTGTGTCCCTTTTCTTCTGTTCTTTTTTTTGAAGGAATTTATGGGGATCGTTAAATGTTCATAGCTTACATCATGGGTTGATTTTACTTAAGCAACTGGTATGGGACTGCTCGTTAATGAGCATCCTTAACCCCACTTAGGATCAAGTTTAAGAACTTAATTTCTTGAGATGAGCACTTAACCTTCAGACCACTGAGCTTGCATCTAATGGTTTACACCAACTGCAATCAATTAGCGATATTGTGCAACCACAATCCATTTCCTGTGATGGGTAACTGTCTCACACTTGACTGGTCACGCCTTCTGATTGGAACTCCTGGAAATTTGTCACTATTGAACACAACTATTATTGGTACGGCGTTTGTAGAAATAGTTGGATTGGTTTCGTTTATATACACTGTATGTAGGTCGGGCGTAAGTGTATGAAAATGGAAGTTCAAGAAAACTCACTAATTCTTTACTATACATTTTCACTGAATTGTTTATTTTTATTATTAATAAGATTAGTATCATTATTCTTTTATTTTGTTATCAGTGGTGTTTGTATTGAAATTGGTTCAGCCCTAACTGTATTAATTGCTAGTAAAATTGGTCTGCCAATATCAACTACACATTGTAAAGTTGGTTCAGTCGTATTTGTTGGACGTGCACGTTCTAGAGACAATGTTAATTGGGGTATATTTCGTAATATTCTAGTTGCATGGTTGGTAACCTTACCCGCTGCTGGTGCTATCTCTGCTTTACTCATGTATATATTTACATTTGTAGTATGAATTTAGTTTATTATATTATTATTATTAATAAATATTTTATGATTAAAAAATCTGTTTTTATAAGTAAAAAGAACGAACAGAATAAACTAAATCTCACAAATCATTAATGTAACTTCTTGTTTGTATCCTCATTCATTTTGAGCGAACTGATTGATTTTTTTCTGCTCACTTCTTCATTTACGTACTAGATTTCTATTGTTTTTGTTCTTTTTTTCGTTCAACACATCCGCTTGTAAACACATATGCACATACACAGAGTAGAAAAACATTTACTTTTCTCCCTCGTTATCATTACTATTATTATGAAGTGATCTCGTATTAATTAGATAAATGTTCTTATTAGTGCAAGTGGTGATGGTTTATTTAGTTGATGTTCTGTTTAAAAATAAAAGTTCCCTTAATCTCTCATCATCTTTATTACGTTCAACGTCTGTGGAAATAGTACCCTGTTCACCAGTTAACACTGTACACAGTTTACTCACATACATACACATAAACAGAGACAAGGAATAGTAAAAAGAAAACAGATTTGTAGCAACATCCTTTTGAATTGTAACATAAAACATTATTATTTCCTTGTAATTTTGTTTTTATCAACTAATATTAGTGAAAAAGTTTTATTTTTCTAGTTACTACTTCCTTGATAAGTTGTTTGTTTAATGAGCAGTTATTATTAATTATTAATTTATGATGTGATTCAATTAATTAATTAAGAGAACCTTTGAAAAATGTTTGTTCGGTTGTTTTTTTTCCCATGTTTCTTTATTAATCATATAAACTATAGGATATATAAATTGAACTAATGATATCACTTTTTGTAAGAAATAAATCTTGGATTTGTTTCGATCAATGATGAGACGACGTTAATACATAGTAAAATGGTATTATATTCACTTTGAACACCATTATTTACAGTGGTGTTATTTTCTCTGAGCTGGATGGTTTGTTGTAGGGTCTTTTTTATTGTCGTCGTTGACTGCATCATGTAGAATATTCTGATGGAGATTTTCAAACAATGATAAATGCTTTGCAATTAAATCATCCATTTGATGAAAGTACATAACACTACCAAATGGATTGATGGGAGCTGCAAACGTTCTCCATTATTTCGATATTACTTATCTTTGAATAGTGGATAGATAATGGATGTTATCATATTGTATCTTAGATCTTATTTCAATATACTGAGTTATCTCAAAATGTATCTTTACATATAGACTTTTTAGTGGGTAAAAATGTACTAGTTAGATGATATTGTATTTTATCCAGTGAGTGAATATAATTGTAGAGTAAAATAGGTATATTGAAATGAAAATGGTTGTCAACGATATGTGTAAAGTGAATAATACATATAAATGTATCAATAGTAGTTGTATATATCTGTTATGATGGTAAGAGTGCTGATAATTTCAATACTGTAAATAAATCATGATACTGAGGAAGGAAGGTGATTTACTGTGTTTGTTTTATGTCGGTTTCGAAGTATCTGGACTATACAGTTTACTAAGATTCCCTGCAAAAAACCACTAAGTCCACCGTATTGTACGCGATTAACGAGGACGTGAAATGGATCTGAAGTTTTGGTCGTCAGTCTAGTGCAAGCTTTTTCAAAGAAGATAATCAAATATAAATACATAGTTCACAGGTCGATTGTATGCTAAACAAATTGTCCAATCATGTGAACAATGCATTAAGTGAGATTTGTTGTGGTGCGTACGAGTCACTTGGTATGAAAAGTATGGAAAATTGTGATAAGACAGCATGTGTATGTGTGTTTATGTAGACTTGATGTGATAAAAATTTACCGACCTCATATCCCTCTGGTTATGATTGTTGGTGCAATTCAGTGATTTGATAGATGTCATAAATTCAACATGTCGCAGCATACATAAAATGAGGACGACTAGAGAGATAAATGTAAATTTGTGTTGTTGTGTTAAACAAGCGGATCGTTCATCGTATATTTGACAAATTAACTGATTAGAACAAATGGAAAATAGTAGTTATTGTCCACATAATGAAAGAAGTGAAATAAAGTACAAATTGATCTATTAATTACTAGTTGCCATCGGGAAACTAATTGTATTCTATCTCTTCTACGTATATTGTTTGAGTTTGTCAATATACGTAGGGCTCCAGCCTTCTCAGCTTTAGGCAGTTTGTGTCTCCTCACCCGCGCACTGAACCATCGTGATGTCTCGTTCACTCATACATCGTCATAGTCTTTACATTTGGTCACATAGACTCGATTTTGCTATTTCTTTCATATTGTATGCTAGAGCCTTACTAGTTTAGCAGTAAGAGTATTGTTCGTTCAACAACAAAAACACGTATTGTAGTGCTTTAGGGTCACTCCGATTTCTGACGATTAACTATGTTGATCCATTCTCTTAGTTTTTCTTTTCGCTTATCTTTCTGACCCTAATCATTCCTTTTAAAATGTCCCTAGGTTGGTTATTCATCAAAGTACACATAACTAAATCCAAACCAGCTTCTTTATCAATTAGTTCTGAGACGAGTTTCCGAACTCTGTTATCGGATTCGTAGCGACTCTCACCTTTGTAAAAGGAACATGTGATGACTTGTAATCTAGATATGTCTCGGGATATGTTTGATTTTGGAATATAACAATGTTTAAACAATCATCACTCTTCCTCACAAGCAAACAGTCAAGAAATGGCAGTTTGCGATCAGTGGATCCGATTTCTGTAGTGTACTTGGTGTTATCAGATATACTGCTGACGTTTTTAGAAAATTCGTCTCAATCTCATTCGTAATGATAAATCGGTTATCTATATATCTCAACGAGATTGTAGGCGATTGGAGACAATTTGAGATTTCTCTCGTTTCCAATCAATGAACAAACAGGTTAGCCATATTTGCGGCTATCGGTGATCTCGCAACCAACAGTCGACCTTATTAATTGAAGCCACATCTTAGTTTGACTGCCTCTAGCTAGTAAAATTATTTAGTAAGTCGTATCTGGCAAAGCAGAGCATATAAGTTTTACGAGATTTCTCTCGACACATAAATTAGGGTCATCGACATTTAATCCGATAGGGAAAAGACCAAGTATACTATGTATCGCTCCAAATAATTTGGTTTTATCTATCGCATAACCACTGTCAAGCAGGTGCGCCAAGATAGAGTTGTGTATTGTCTTTGTCTGAACATTCCCTAACCACGAAGAGAAGCTCATTTGTACTGATAGTTTTAATTTCTCCCCCAGATGTTAAGAAGTGCAATTGATCGGTGCTCCACGGCATATGTGTATCCCAGTGAGTGAAAATCTACTCTCGGATGCAGGTATATCCAGTTGATGAGTCCCAAATAGAGTGAAATGCACGTTCTCGATTCCACTGCTAGCCACCATCCATCTTTGCTCACAGACAGAGAGATGCTTACTCAATCGCTGATTAAATTTCTTGGTAGTACACTCAACGAATGCAAGCAATTTTACAGAGTTTTTGGGTCTATAGAACTAAACTACAAATAAGGGTATAGTCATTGCATGTTTTGCCTGCATCGTTATGTGGTGGTTTAGCTTTAAGAAAATTTAAGAAATGTCTAGAAATAAGTGAAGATATTTCATAGTATTATGGTTATGGGTTGTTGACATTTCTTGGATAATTAAATCAAACATCCATTTGAACTGCTGTACCATACTAATCCAATGTCAGTAGTTCTCATGAATTCAATTACTCAATTACGTACTTTTGTTCTAGCTTAAATGAAAAGATATAGTCGTGGAAATGTATTGACTGTTTATTGGTGTGATCAATTTATGTGCCTATGACTGACAGATTTCAATGCTCTGCTCCCTGACTCGGATGAATACGGAAACACCTGACTAACTAGACTCACTTCTACAACTCGGGATATTCTTTTGTATTTATATCAGTATATTTACCTTCATTATCTGTTTTAACTCTGATGAACAATCTTCGTTATCCTATTTCAATATTTATCGGATTCTGCTTATTATTTGGGAACTCATACAACGATGCACAATCAGCTTATAGTGTCGACCGACCGGTTAAATTATGAGGAAAATATGGATGAAATCAACTAAGTAACCTTTCTTTTGAAAACTTTACATAATCGCGAACCATTTTAATGAAGCTGGAACGTCATTACAGAGATAATTTAATAGTTTATAAAGGAATATGCATGGCATTTGTGACAAGGTCTGAATTTTCAAGAAAAATCATTTAATTAACAGCTGATTGACAATTAATGGTTGTTATTGATTTATTTACTCAAGGTCACCAAAATCACGTGTTTAAATACAGATACTAATTGGCGTATCATTATATCAACATGAGAAAATGTGTGCTTTTAATGGACTTAATCTCTAACCAGAATTTATTTAGCACTCAAATAGCAAACTTCAGTATGTTGACTAAATATTTCAACTGGAAATCAATAAAAAAAGAAGTAAAAACTGTTTAGATTAGCTTTAGTGTATTCGTTTACTCTATAGCAATTAATAATTTACTTTTCTCAACTCTTAAACACGCATACACATATTCAAGGCCACGTATAGTTGATTCAGTAAATTATCAACAAAAAAACTTACCTCTAGCCTATAAGCACATCTCTGCAAATTCATTGTACATCTGTTTACATATATGTATGCATAATTAATAATACTAGACCTATTAAAAGAATATCGCATGATCAGGATATGCTTAAGAGTTTAGTTACCAAAATCCAGATTCATTTGTGCATTTTTACTCTAATGACAATGTTTACTGGAGGTTATTTGAGCGGAGATAAATGATGTTAGAATTTTAAAAACTGGTAAGTCATAAATAGTTGTTATTTCACCTGAATATAAATCCAAAGATTTTAAGTTTTTAACAAATATACTTTCACTGAAGACAACCATTCACTTGTATAAAACCCCAATGGTAAACGAATCCAAATACTTTCAGAAGGTGTAGACATTAATTGTGTTAATAGTCACTTAAATATGATTTAGTTACCAGCGTAGTTTACGAAAAATAGTAAGCCTGTTTGCAGTTTGAATGATTCGTAATACAGTTTAGATGGTGAAGAGGGATTTTTTAAAATTGCACACCTTTTAAAATTAATTCCTGAAGGAGGTATGATTCTAGGGTGGACTAATTAAGGGGTACTTCCTCCTCCATGGTTTTATAACTTGCGTTTACCTAATTCGTTTATGATTGATACTATCACTTACACATCTTTCCTTATTTTTATTATTATTATTCTTGTGAACAAGTGGGGAATTTAATTAACACTCGATCCACTTTACCATTTCTTACTTAATCCATATTAAATGATTTATTACGCAATCTTTGGGTAATGATTTGGTCCGTACCTATCACTCTATATCATATGTATTTGTTCTGAATATTGATTTTGTAATTCTAAATTGATCTACAAATCGATTTAACTTAACACTGTATGTTAGTCACTTCGACACTGAGAAGAATTATTCATTTGTGTTCCGCTGGATGCAGAGATTGTAGTTCTATTATTACATATTTATTCTGACCAACGATCTCACACTTTCATTTGTGTTTTTTGTTTGAATCTTCCTAACTGATTAGAGGCTGATCAGCTGCAATCCTCAACATTGGTGGGAAGATTCATACAACCAATACAAATTAATTAAACCTCACCTCATTGCACAAGCCAGGGGTTATCTAAACTCAGTAGCTATGTGTATAACGCGATGGATTTTGAAGTCTGCTTACTGACTGGTTAGTAATACTCTTGTATATTAATGGAACCGGTGAACATACATACTAGGTTCTACATTAAGACTGACTGATTAACTGAGGCTCTGGACACTGCTATTAATTTGATTTCATGCTATATAATTATTTATATAAATAACTTGTTATGCTTTTCATAAAGCTCTGTTGTTATGACTAAGAACTTAATTGACTTCGTCTTCTAGACTCGCTAATCAAAATGTTGACTGGGAATAATCACAACTCTTATTGGTCACGAACGTATACTCTTCAACCTGCCCAACCTTCAGTACTATAATAGGACACAGCAAGCAGTAGTGCATTAGTAGTTTCATTGTCATCAGTCTCAAGCACTCATTAGTTTATATGCACGAATTATTACCAGACTGCAGCATACTCCAAGTGTGAAATATTACCGAAAGTTCTGAAGTCTTAAACACTTGCTTAATCATAATATTTATTTAATCCAAATACCTTGCTAAGTATTAGACCATTCATTAAAAAGATTATTGTTACAATGTTTTACGTAAATCTTGTCAAACTCGTACTTCATTACTCATTAAAAAAATAGTTAATCAGCATTACAAAAATCTGCCGAAACTTCATAACTGTTAATTTAAGAATAAAAACATCAATATCTCATAATGATAAAGGTGATTAGTATTATGTTTCTTGATAAAATAAATCATTTATGAATAGCCCACTACTTACTATAAGTTACTATGAGTACCCTTAAACAACGTTAAACCACGTAATTATATTAAATGTTTTCATATACCGTTATGTTCTTTTTGAGAAACACAACTTATGCAAATACATATTTTCAGTAATCAAATGTTACCTTTACAAAAGAGTATACACATATAGATGCATTGTTTCAAGTACTATAAAATTCAACCAGAAGTTGAATTTGAACAAGACATTTTCAGGTAAAACATCTAACTAACATACCATGTCTCATTCTAACTAAATCACAGTTTCAAATGAATTATAGAATCTAGTATACCTATGTTTTCAATTGTTTTACACTGATTATTCATGTCTTCTTAACCTGTTTAAAATCGATGATTATGTGGAGAATGTAGGTCACTTTTGATAATGTTACATGTGTTTCTTATTGGACTTTTATTTTTTTAAAAATTAACTCTCACATTTTCAGACAATTGTTTGAATGAATAGGTTTAGAAACGAATGTTTGTCTCTAAATATAGCAGAAAATCTAAGTCCTAATATTTAGGTGCCTATTTTCTTGTTCTCACCCAGTAGTACTTCGTAAATAAGTTATTTAAAAGAAAAACCCTAAACTTCCTGGATGAAATAGACTTGATATGACATTTTGATTTTCTTGAATTAGAATATAACAGTGGTCCAATTCCCTGTTTCTCTGTAATTGTTTAAGTGATTGCCAACTGTAAATGGAATCAATGTCTAAGCAGTGAATGACACTGATAAGGTAGGATAATCTAAAATGTTTTCGCTTATTTTTTTAACATGATGTTTCGTAAAATTTAAGTCAGTCAGTCAAATGATATTTATTTGTCTATTTAAACTGCTCAAGTATAATCACTTTTCAATTGTTGAGATCATGAGTCAGTTGAAACTAGGCCACCATGGAAAACCTGGAAGCACTGGACGACCATTTCGTCCTATTGTGAGGCTCCTGAGGAGTTCACAAAAACCCCTTCTGATATAATCACTTTGTTCATTAATTTTAATACTTATGAAAGTGTAAGAATATTGTTATCTGTAATTGCCCAGGTTTCGAATTATGTAATACAAATCATGCATTCAACAAAATTGTGAAAAAGTTCAACACATTGGTAATATTGAATTGTATGAACTCACGTATTTATGAGTGTGGAACGTTCCAAATATTAAAGAAAACATATTTTTTATAAACATAATGAGACAAGTTTTGAACGTTCTATTTTTTGCATAGAATTCTAGAAAAATACGACGTCAAATTCAAACACTACACAAACACATATTTGGCGGCAATGAATTTCGAATTTAAACGTACCTCTGACATATCAACATTATCGAATAAAGAGACTGAAAGTAAATTTGAGAAAAAACATGAAAATATTACAATCCTTAAACAGGAATTCTCAAGCCCGCTAGATGGTGATAATGACAATGGTGAACAATTCAAATTATCTGGAAATTCAACAGAAGTGAAAAGCTCTTCATCTCATTCTCTAGAATCTCTAAATACAATAATAATATCAAAAGTGTATGTTTTCATGTTTTATGTTTATATATTTAAAAACATATTGGGAAAAGTGAAATTTGTGTATTGAGTCTTGTATTCAGTAAGACTCATTAGATAATATTTTAGTTCACGAAACAAATTGTAGACCTTTAGGTGTTTCAAGTGGATGACGTTTGGTGCTGCCTAACAAGCAAAGGTTTTTGGTTGCTGATGTATAAGCCCCAATAAAAACTATAGGTTTGGATCTTACAGATGTATTTGCCCAATGTGATTCAGGGTTTATAGTTTTTAGGCTCCAAATTCTCGTATTACTGGTTGAAGGACATAGATGAGACAGTGAATTTAATCATGGAGACCGTTTCGAACTACGTTTTATTATAACTTATAAGAATCTATATTTGAAATATATATATCTGAATGTTCAACCAATTTACCAGGTGGTTATTTGTGTAGATTTTTAGAACAAATGTTCTGAAATTCTGTATAGTTATTTTAACAAAAGTTTATTGGTTGCCACTGATTTTATCAGGGCTGGAAGTTTTGTAGTTCTATATATTCCTCGATAGAAATTCTCAATGCTTTTTTTCTTCTAAAGATAGTTTTCATTATGAATTTATAACAGCTGGGATTCTGTTGAAAACTCGGAAAGAATATACAGTTATTGGGTTCTATTTTTAAAACTCATTAGTAATATGCTTCTGCTGCCTTACAGATATCTTTAAGTTTGTTGGGAGACCTTTGGCTCAAAATACATTGTTTCCTTTTTCATCTCCACCTACTTTGTGACATAAAATAAACATTACCCTTTGCACCAGAGGGTGACTACTTTAATCCCAACTTCACTAGTTACCGATGGTGAAGGTTACCCTTGGGATTCAAAAACTCTAGACGATAAAGATTTTTTAATTATTGTCATCATGGTTCAAATATCCCATTTTGTGGAAATCTATCTCACTACAAGTAATTTTAAATAATGACAACTGGGTTTCCCTGATTAGGATTTAGAGGTATTTAACTTCAAATATCGTAATCGTAAAATACCGTCTTCCGAAAATTAACCATTGTAGGTAAACATATATTTTCGGAAATGTAGGTCTCACAAGCTAAACATAATATCATGTTACATTTTATTTTAATCTACCGAATATATGTTTAAATAAATGTGTGATCGATAAATCAAGTCACTGACTTATGAAGTTCAATAGACTACTCATCATTAGGCAAACGTTTACTGATTATAGTAGTTGTTTTGTGATCAGTAGTGCAATCATGAACGGCCGTTTCATCCTGTTGTGTGATTCCTCAGCAGTGCGCATGCACGACCGCGCCTTGCGAGACTCGAACCCAGGACTTATCAGTCTCGCGCGCGAGCGCTTAACCACTAGGCCACTGAGCCGGCATTCAACGGTGTTAATGTCTAGCTTCAACTAATCCACGAAATTGAGCGAAACATTCACCATTGTCATCAATGAGTTACTATCTCATAACAGATCCGGTTGTAACGGCCGTCCAGTGCTTCCAGGGTTTCCATGGTGATCTAGCTTCAATTGTCTCATGATCTCAACTATTGAAATTACTACGATCTACACAAAATCCCTTCTGATACATAAATTGTGTTATTAAAGATTAAGATCATGAACCGATTTATGTTAGACCACCATTGAAAACCTGGAAGCACTGGATAGCCATTTCGTCCTATTATGTCCTGAGTTCGAATCTCGCAAGGCGGGATTGTGGATGCACACTGCTGAGGTGTCCCACAATAGGACGAAACAGCCTTTTAGTTCTTTCAGGTTTTCCATGGTAATCTATCATCAATCGGTTCATGATCTCAACCAAAAACTTAGTAATCTCCACAACCCTGTACTGGAAAATTAGTAAAGATTAATAGTTTTTTCTTACTGATACTCGTGTTAGTTATCATCTTAACTTTTTTTGAAAATCTTATCACTAAATATCAATATTGAAGTGATTCACTAACGGAGACTGATTAAAATCCATTTATAAATAATCATAAGAATAAGAAGTAGTATTAACCATTATTAAGATATTTACATTGTAGATATTTGATATGCATAAAAATAAATTTATTCTCATCTTACCGATAAACTATTCGTTGAGAAAAACAAAATTCGTAGTCTTATTCTGTTTCTATGAATTTCTATAGACCTAGAAGCATATCAAAAATTTTTATGGGAAGATATAAAGACAAGTAAATATAACCTATTTTTTTTTATTCTTTATATTATCATCAATATTATTGTACAGAATTTGATTGTTATTTGCCGACGTAATTCATTGATTTTATACACATCTTTAACCATGTGATTAAGAAAGTTTTTTTTTTCCTTTTTTTATAAAGAAAAAAATAATCTCTAAGATTCATTTATTTTAATACAGATACAATGTAATTTTGACAAATATGTACACTCCAGTCATCATTCATAATGATGACATTTATAAATAATCAATAAATCAGCTGAAATAAATCTTAACAATGTACAACAGTTATGCAATATATATAGCTGGTTTGAATAATTTCTTCTGGTTAGCGTTTTTTTAGCGAGTTAGTTTTCTACCGGATAGGGTCACTAACCCCATGCCAAACATTCCTCCTTTATACGGGTTAGGGACCGGGAGTAGCTCTAGAGGGGCTCTATGCTTTAAATAATCACTATATGGTAATCGAGACTTTGCTTGATAATAAGCAATAATAGAATAATGGATAATTATTTTTATTGTTAGTAATATTTTAACGAGGGTATAGATTACATTGTCTTATCATTTTAAAATATTTAAAAAAGGGATCACGGTGATGATGTCAAAAAAACAACACAATAAACACATAAATAAATTAGTTAACATAATCAATACAGAATCAACGATATCCACTTCATCATAACCAATGTAGAAGTAAACGATAAGTCATGTATATAATATTAAGGGGAAAAAGTTTTTTGTTTACAGTTTGAAAACATTTTGTATTCTATGAACACATGATAAGTTTATTTTCAACGAAAATTTTCTAGACTTCATTTCTATTATTTAAAATAAGAAGTTAATACAAAGAGGTGAATAGTTAAATAAACAAATTTTTGAGTAGTTAAGTAAAAGTAATCAAATCGAACCATATTTCATTTTTTGATTAAGATTATGAATCGATTGATTGAAAGCCTGAAAGCATTGGACGTCCGTTTCGTCCTATTATAGCATTCCTCAGCAGCACTCATCCACGATCCTGCTCGCAGGATTCAAAGCCAGAACTTTCGATCTTTCACGCAAACGCTTAACCTCTAGACTACTGAGTTAACATCCAATGGTGTTAATAACTAATCTCAATCAAGTTTTATTTTGTGTATACTATAGTTTAAATAACATAGATCTGCTTCATACAAATTCAAATCAAAGAAATTAAAGTATAATCTTAAAGTTCATAATTCCTATTCAATCTTTCATAAATTTTTAGATCTGTGAATCGTCAATTTTCTATACCAGATGCTCCAATTCCACTGAAATTTACTCCAGTCAACGTTGACTTGTTACCATTAGATTTATTGTCTGATTCACAGAATAAAACCATACATGAATTACTTAGTCATAATGAATCTTGTAAGTTTATTATTAAACATATTTAAAAAAATAATAATATTGAGGTAAACAATTGTTTCATTATTAGGCTTTATAAATTGTTGTATCATGTTAAAGTGCTAAAATAAGCCATGAACATTACAATGTGACAATGTTTGGTGTTAAAAAAATTGATAAAATTTCGATCACTATGCATACATAAAAAGAAGGCCCCGGTCAGAGTGGGATGGAGAATGCTTGTTGGCGGCCTATGCTTCATTGGGAGTAACAGGCTCGGAGCGAAGCATGCGTACATAAACTAGTCAGCTGTCCTTACATATCTGATTTTATTCCGATAACTGTTTCAAGCGCATTTACCTTAAATTATGCAATTCGATTGTATTTAATAGTTGATTTTTCAACTTCATGTCTTTCTTAACTAATATTTCTCCATAGTGTCTTTTCTGAGGCATTATTGTGATGAATTCGATCTCTTTGAAGATATAACCCAAGATATTTCTTACAAAGGATAAGAAACATAGAAATTTAGAGTTTATTCCAATATTTTAAGACTTATCAGTTAGATGTACCAAAATGACATCGTTGATATTCTTGTCGGAGATAAAATCTAGTTACTATCTATTGATAATCTATTGATAAAATAATATATTTGTAATATCGCAATGAGTAGAAAAAATTTATTTTTTAAATTGTGTGACGTTTCGTGACTCAATGTCAATCACTTTTCCAGAGAAAAAATAAACAAAGCCCGGGTTAATTTCATTTATTTATTCTCTGAAGAAGTGGCTTACAGTGAGTCACAAAACGTCAGTAAAATGTAATTTTTTTACTCATTGGAATGTTACAAATATAGTATTTTAACAATAACAATCTACCTGATATTCAATTTACTTAAAATTATTGAGTCAAACCTTAGTAATGATACCTATCTATTAAAACTTCAGGGAATTACTCACTAAGCTTTTAAATTAAAGTATTTATCACTTTTCGATAATGTAACAAGAAGACGAAGATTATCAGAACTATGTGATATATTAACGTAATACATTTCGAACAATCTGATCACACATATACTTGTTAAGGACATTTATATATAAAAAATAGAAGGTCAACCAGACTGGAAATCGGGTGAAAGGAGACAAGGATA